GTGGGTAGCACGCTTGTGTTCTGCCCATGAATTCCTGGGTTCGATCCCCAGTCGGGTCGATGGATTGGCACTGCTGATGAGACCCAACCAGGCCGAAACAGCTGTCCAGTGCTTCCGAGCTTTTCAGTTCACGCTTCATTTGCTATATACATGACGAATTTCCATTTGAAATTTAACCAAATCCTCCATTACTCACATGAAATTTTTAATTACTTGCATGTAACAAGTAGTCATGTTGTAAAAGTTTCCAACGGGGCCACAACCCTGAAGGCTAGTGCCGAGGTATGTGGTCCGCAACAAGCTCGCAAAGATGGGTTGTGCTATATCGATTATATTCCAAATGAGAAACGGTCTGAAACGGTCTGTCCGGCTGCTGAGTGGGTGGTATGCTTGCGTTCTACCTGTCAGGTCCCAGGTTCGTTCCACAGTTGCGTCGATGGATTCACACTGCTGATTAGAACCAACCAGGTCTAAATAGCTGTCCAAAACTTCCCAACTTTTCAGTTTACGCTTCATTTGCTATATACACGATGAATTGCTCCTATGAAATTCAATAAAATCCTCCAACACCCGCATGTTATAAATATATTTGAAACCTTCTTACGTTCATGGGTTTAGCCATGTAGTGATATTCATAATGATTATCAGTCAGCATATCGTAACCGGCCTTCGAGGTTTCGGCGTATCCGATCTAACTCATACTCATATAATTCAGTCTACTTACCTCAAATGATAATGGATTTAATTCTCTACCTAACCATGGTAAAGCTCTGCAATATGTCACATTTATTCTTTTATTTTCTGATTTCTTAACCGATGAGCTCCAGAATAAATGTAACAGTGATATTGCAGTCGAAACTAAATTAAACTGTAACTTTCAGTCCTTCGAACTCAGTAAATCTTTATTTTCTATCGCTCATTGTTTTTCTTGGCTTCTATTACCTCAGTGTGTTCAAACTGGAATTTCCTTTTCACTGGCTATTGAAAATCAATTTTCATTTTCATATATGGACAATAACGAAGTACCTGGAATTCAATTTGTCAAGTGAATTGGTGTGACCTTTACCCAGGCTTATTTCTTGTATATTCATAAACATTTTATAGTTTGCCCCTAATATACTTATCAACACCACATTATATACAGGAAGGATTGCTATATCCTTGCGTATATAGTTCCATTTATTGTTTGGTGCTGGGCTTCGGAATTAAATATTGTGGTACTTTGCGTTCTATAGTGATATCCTCCTCTATGCGTTAACCAATTTCACATATTTCGTATCGATCATATCCTACCTTGAAGAAAGCTTAAAAAATGGCGAACTTCGAGTTTTTCACGGTATCGTATCGGTGCTGCCAATTACCACAAACATTGAGGTAATGAATTATTCATTTTCTTACGTTTTTTTGAATAACTCACATGAACTACACACATGGTAAGTAAAGAATATGACTAAACTCAATATTTTGCTATCGGGACTTCTCAGACGTTATCGGGTTTTTTCGCACAAATGCATTGACTGAACGACAGAGAGAAAGAGAGACTGGGAATGTCCCAAAGTTTCACTGTTTCATGTACTACTATGAATGTCGAGGTTTAAACCATACCAATGATTTACTCAACCTCTGCTTGTAAGAATCAACTGTGGGCGCAGAAACCAGGCGGTGGTGGCCCGGTGGTAAAGTCACTAAATTATCACCCTGAAGGACGTGTGTTTGAATCCCACAACCATCGCTTGACTTGCCCTAGCTGTGTATTGTATGGCAGCCTCTTGATGGAAAATTGTATCAATATGTATTCAAGAAAAGGAACTAAGGCTACAAAATAGGTGAAGTGGTACGGAATTCCAAATAGTTCAAACCCTGGGAACAGAGGAGTGAGCCTTATGCGGAAAATTCCCTCCATTGGGTGAATAAAGCCAGGCTGTTTTTGAACTGAATTGACTTACAGTGTCACATTCTATGTCGTTCAGTCTTTACCACTCC